GGATAATCAGAGGTGTGGGGTAGTTGCAGTGGGGGGCTGTTGCGATAGGGGGGTCCGGAGCACTGGGATCTACCTGGGTGACCTGCTGCCTGGGGTAGGCCAGGGCTCATGCACAGGTGTGCCTGGCACCTCTGTGCAGGTGTGATGGGAGTGTGCATGGGGGCGGGGGGAGATGCTCACCACGTGCCCTGGGTGGGGGCTGTGGTGTCCACCTCTGTGTTGAGCTGGGGCATTGCTGGGATCCGCACCAACGACCTTCTTTTCAACTCCCCCCATCAGGCCCCCACCATGAACACAGCGCAGGGCACCGTGGGCAGCGACCCCGTGATCCTGGCGACCGCCGGCTACGACCACACAGTGCGGTTCTGGCAGGCGCACAGCGGGATCTGCACCCGCACCGTCCAGCACCAAGACTCTGTATCCTCCTCGCGCCTGCACGGGGCCCGCAGCCCTGGCGCCTCTGACGGGTCATGGGCTCTGGTAGGGGCGGAGAGCCCTGGCATTGGTTTAATTCCCCACGTAGCCTGTCCTGAGAGGAAAGAAGGGATTGCCAGGACCCAAAGTTCAGCGGGGCTGGAAGGGACCTGCAGAGGTCACCTCTAGTCCAGCCACTGCCTGAGGCAGGACCAGCCCTGTGCAAACCATCCCAGACCGATCCATTGTCCAACCTCCTGGCAAAGCTACAGTTACCCCAACCCAACACAACATATCACACCCTAAGATGCCATCGGTATAGCAGGGGGACCGCTGCAGCCAACGTGCTGCTTCTGCACGAGGTTTTAATATCTGCTTAAGAAATCCTAAATAGAGGCCACACCTGCTACAGGGGAAAGAAACACCCCCTCTCCCATCCGTACCAATCTGACCAGGGGCCAAGTTCCTTCCTGACCCCAATGCAGCGCCGGTCTGACTCTGAGCGTAGGGGCGAGACCCTCTAGCTTGGCTCACCTGTAACGCACAGTTCAAACTCTTGGTCTGAGCTTCGATCTGGACTCTCGTCAGCAGCTGGAACCTCCCAAAAGCTGCGACAGTAGCAACGACTGACTCACGTCATTATATTGCATGCATTACATTTGTAGTGTGTCAGGAAATGGGCCTAATGATGGAGGAGACAGCAGAGTTATGGACCACAACTGAGTCTGAGTTAGTTTGTTGGGTCAAATATAAAGGAAACCCCCCGTCCCACCTCTGCGTGTGTACCCAGTAAAGAGGGGTGGAAAAAGTGTTTTTGTAGGACCTGTCCAAAGGTGGGGTAATTTTGCCCTCTCCTGACCATGCCATGACATTGCCTCAGACTCTGGTTTTCCTAGATTAGTGCAAAATCCTGACAGCCTCTTGCAGTACAGTTTGCAGATAACCCCCAAAATGGGGGGAATGGTGAATAACAAAGAGGACAGGCCTAGTACGGGGCGATCAGGATTGCTGGTAAACTGGATACAGACAGGACAGTCGCTGTTCGACGTGGCCAGCTTGACATCAGACAGGCGGGGAGGAGGTTCCTTTTCCCCTGTACCACACGCGGGCGCATCCCCTGCATCCTGTTCTGGTGTCTGCGGCCCAAGGAGGCTGTGGATGGGTTGGGAAGGTGAAGAGAGGGACTGTGAGATTGACTAAGGGGTTGGGGACTTGCCCGTGAGTGAGAAACTGCTGCCTGTTGAGCTTAAAGGGAAGGAAGAGGGTCACTGAGAGGCACCTCGTGGATGGGCAGACCAAGGTCTAACAGGATCCAGAGGCTGGATTTGGAGCTAGAGGAATGAAGGTTAGAAACGAGGCAGAAGTCTTTGAAGGATTCACTGTTGGGACAGCTTACCAGTGGATCCTGCACCCCAAGCATCACTCAGCTCCTGGAGGGATGTTCTTCCTCGGTGATACTCTGCAGGTCAGACAAGAACGAATTCAGGGCAGTCGCTCGGCCCATGTCACCGGTTAGAGTCTTTTGGCTTGGTCATGGATTAAGTTGGTGGCTGGGCAGGGAATGAGCAGACACTACGCAGCCTGGTTTTCTGCTCCAATAAAAGCCAAAGAGGAGGGAAAATAAATAGGGGCAGGAGTCAGAGGACAAGAGTGAGGCAAGAAAAGCTGGAGTGAACAGTGGCTGGGAAAGGAGGGGGTGAGAGTGCAGACTCATTGCCCCCACCACGTGTACACACATTCAGTGAGCCAAAGCTACTCTTTCTGCATCGGGAAGCAGGCCCAGCGATGCCCGGCATCTGTCGTCTCTTCTGAAGGTCCTTGTAGAGCCTCGTACCTTCCGACCCTCTGACCAGGGCGTGGGGCAAAGCAAAGATCTCTCTACGGTTAGACATTTTCCTTGCAGCAGTGCTGTCGAGGCTGAGCTAAACTTTGTGGAGTTTGAGGAGACAAGGGCGGCAAAGGTAGAGAGGAGCGGTCAGCGGATGGTGTTTGAAGGGAAAGTGTAGAGCTGGAATCGGGCCAGGCCTTTGTGGGGCGGACAGAGCAGGCTGACGTGTCCTGCCATGTTGGAGTCATCAGATGCGCTCTTTGGCATGAAACGTCCGGCACGCGGTGGTGCGCCAAGCTTCCCTTTCCAGTCTAGATTGTTCCCAAGGAAAGGATGCCCGGTGAGAAGCCCCCGCTAGGCTGAGGTTTCTCCAGGCAGGGTGAATTCAAGGGAGTGCTTTCTCCTGCTGTAGAGGTACTTACTTTCTCTTGTCAACCTTAACCAGCACCTCTAGCAAGTGAATGCTCTGGAGATCACCCCGGACCGCAGCATGATCGCTGCTGCAGGTGAGCCCTGCCCGCGTTCCCACGCCCGAGTTGGGGGCATGCAGGGAGGAGAGGAGTCTGTTTGGTGGTTTCTGGTATTGGTTTCCAACTGGTGTGTGGTGACTTCACCCTCGTGCATGTGATCCAGCTGTGGTGCCCCCGGCTACATGCTCAGACATGCAGTTACTGCTCATGTGTGGTTCGCCAGGGCTCACCTCCCTGGAGCCCTATGACGAGTGTGTGTGCTCTGGGACCCGCAGACCCTGCTGGGCAGGGTGATGTGGGGACAGCCTGCCTTCTACCAAGGTCGGGTGGCCCTTCGCAGAGGGGGCTTTGGCCGATGTGTCTGACACCTGCCATGTACGTCTGGGTCCCTGCTCATTGTCATTGTGGCCTCCAGGTTACCAGCACATTCGGATGTACGACCTGAACTCGAACAACCCCAACCCGGTCATTAATTACGATGGCGTAAGCAAGAACATCACCTCCGTCGGGTTTCACGAAGACGGCCGCTGGATGTACACAGGAGGCGAGGACTGCATGGCGAGGATATGGGACCTGAGGTACCCGCTGAGGCCGGCGCTGCTCCGTGGGGGTTCCCTCTTGGGACGCATCTCCTGTCTCCATAAACCCTCTGAGCCATGACCGTAGCCAGCAGCCACGGGGCAGTACTTGGCTGGGAGACATCCAGGGGGGCCACCCAGAACGAGGGGGTCAGTGTCTTTCCTCTGAATCAGTATTGCACCGCTTCTGGTGCTCAGAGGCTGCTGGCGGCATCGTGGATAAGAGGTAAAAGCCAGGTCTTGTCCATTTGTGATCTTTAACTATTCCCTGGTGCTTCTGGTTTAGCCCAGGGGTCCTGGCTGGTTTGGGTGATGGCCTTCTGCCTCCCGCCGATCCCTTTGGAAGTTGCAGGTGGGGCCGGCAGGCTTCACCTCCCACCCAGCAGCGCCCTTGCATGCAGCGAGCAAGCCCTCTTCGGCACCTGCAGGGGCGGCAGGGAGCTGGTACAGGCCTGAGGGAAGCAGGAGATCTCATTGCAGCTGCTTCTCTGACTCTTCTTGTTTGTGTTCATTCTGTTGCAGGTCACGTAACCTTCAGTGCCAACGTATTTTCCAAGTGAATGCTCCTATTAATTGTGTCTGCTTGCATCCTAACCAGGTAAACGCACACCGTTCTGCACTTGCTAGGCTCGGGGAGGCTGCTACAGATGTTCTGCGTCTCCCGACTAGAAACCTGACGGGATACATGACTGGCAGTCATTGCAGAACATTGTGTTTTCTAAATGGACTTGTTTGCTGCTCTGACAGGACTTGAACTTGCTAGGTGTGAGCTCCTGTCTCAGCATTAAGTACCAGACACAGATGTTGGTCAAAATTGAAAGAGTTTCCTATATCTGGCAGCTGAGAAAACCCCCTGAATCCACACAGAGAAGCGTACCCTTGAGTACAGGCGGGTGATCGAAACCCTTGTGATTGCTCAGTGCTGCTCCAAGCACTAGATGGTATCGCTGTGTGTGATTCTGTCATTTATTACCTGAGCTCTTTGCCTCTGGGTCCCGTGGGAGTATCAGCCTGTTGACTTAGGTTGAACTGAGACCTTGGGACCTGCTCCGTGGAAGTGCGTTCCCTCCCTCTCTGCTTATGAATGCAAAACTTCCCTTGTGCGGGAGGATAGAGAAAAAGGGAACTGAAACTATAGTTTCCCTTTTCAGTCTTAAAACAGGATTGCCCCCTGGATTCTTTCGAGGACAGAGTGGCATAAACAAATTTACAGATCGTTCCCTGTTTCTTGGAGCAGAAACGTTTAAGTTGCACTTTCTGCAATGTGCTTTAATTTCTGTTACTATTGGGCTAAGTACCCCTAATTCCTATAATCAGGGAAAAACGGAATTGGTGTTGTATTTTACTCAGCTCAGTGCAAATCGTCCCTTTGGCTTCCCTTGTGTCACACAACTCTCTTGTTACTTTCACATCCTTACGTGCCAGCCCAGTGTGGCAACGTCTGGGCTGCAAACAGTGCAGCAAAGGATTGATGCGTCTTGCAAAACAAACTGTTCCTCTTTTAGGAGGACGCTGCGGAAATGCTCCTTTGCAAGACCCGTGTTTTACTTCAGATCGGACGTGACCTTTGCCTCATTAGCACGAACAGTTGTGTGGTGTCGGCACGTCAGGAAGGCTACATGTTGTATCGGTGTCAGCTGTCGTGCAGGAATTTGCATTTGAGAACATGGCCAAGCAGACATTGCCGTGTTATGGCCTTTATTCTGGAGCGAATCGGACTAAGTTGGGGATACCTGTGTGGGGTGTCGTCAGCCTGAGCAGCTCACAGCTGCTATCAAGCACTGCCAGGGGATTGTTGTCAGTTCAGTGACCTCTTCTGCAGCTGTGTCTACACATACTAGGAGGGGGCAGCCCCTTTCAGGGTTCAGGGTGCAATCTGAGCATTGCAGGTGGCCAGGGAGGGACCTCTGCCCTACACACTGGATTTGGGTATGTTTTGGGCAGTGGTCCTCTTCCTCCAAGGCAGGCTGTTACATGCTGGTGGGCACAGGACAAGACTGATCCATGGTTCAGTGCAATGTTGCTGGTGCACACCACTGATAAAAGCCAGAATCTTAATGGAGAGGGACAGCGTTGTGTAGTGGTCTGAGCACGACTGGGAGCCCAGGCTCTTAAATCCCAACCACGGCTCTTGGTTGGATCTGCTCCCTGACTGAGAAAGTTATGTAGGCCATAAATGCCAGAAGGATCCATTGAGTTAGAAAGCTTCCATTGCTGGGTTTTCAGGGGTGCCAAGCATGGCTGGCTTCGGTGGGTCACAGCTGCTGGACAATTCTGGAAATTGGGCTCAAGAGGTCTGGAGCTGGGCCCAGAAACTTAGTGTACACTTCTAAAAATGCCTCCTTGGCTCAGTTTCCCTATCTGTAAAACGGGGATAAGGCTTATTTAGATTGCAGCGTGGTAAGAATCTGCAAGCAGCTGCAGATCCAAAGTGCCATCGTCCTGATGACTGTCTGGGCAGAACAGGAACATCTGGGCCAGATCGATGGCTGCACTGGATGCACTTAGGTGCAGGCACTCTCTGCACTGCCTTTTCTGTTTCCTATTTGCAAATTGTGACTTGGTCCTTTGCAGGCTGAGCTAATCGTCGGGGATCAGAGTGGTGCTATTCACATCTGGGACCTGAAAACAGACCACAACGAGCAGCTGATTCCCGAGCCAGAAGTTTCTGTCAATTCAGTTCACATCGACCCTGACGCCAGTTACATGGCGGCTGTCAACAGTTCGGTGAGTCCAACTGGAGCCCTAGGAGCGGAGTAGCCAGGGCTGCAGCAGTTCTGCCGTTCGTCCTGCCGCAGGCTTCTCGGCACATCCGTTGCACAGAGCTCGCTGCACTCTGGGGCAGCCGGGAGTGCTCGTGGCTGTTGCCTGCATCCCTCGTGCCCCTTGCGGTCCAGCCTAGCAGCCAGCTCCTCTCTGTCTGCAGGGGAACTGCTACGTCTGGAATTTAACCGGTGGCATCGGGGAGGAGGTGACTCAGCTCATCCCTAAGACCAAGATCCCAGCGCACAACCGCTATGCCCTCCAGTGCAAGTTCAGCCCCGACTCCACGTGAGTGCTGCCAGCTCGCTGCTCTGCCCCAGCCTTGAACAAAGCCAGCCTTTCAGACTGGGTCTCAGGAGACCAGCGGGGGCCCCAGCTGCTGATGCAGGTCTGGCTCCATTTCCTCCTCCCAGCAGCAGGAAGCGGAGAAGGCAACAGCTGAGCGATCAGTCTGGCCTCTCACCTAGTGCCCAGTTGTCGCTTCACGAGTTCGGCATGGGTAGCACATAGCCTGAGGAGCAATGTACTGACTGCTCTGAGCCCATAAACCTGGCCTGTCCTTTTCTCAGCCCTGTGCTTCACAAGAGGTGGGGCAAATAGTAGCCCTTCTCCTCCAGCATGGGGGCTGGCCAGGGGGGTCTGCGGCTCCTGGCAGACTGTGCTGTCTCTGTGCTAGGCCCCGCAGTGTGTCACGTTTCCAGAGCCACTGCGGGGAGCATCCCATGGTAGCAAGGAAATGAATCCTGACCACGCTCCTGCATCGCTCCCCTCCAGGCTCTTAGCTACGTGCTCTGCAGACCAGACCTGTAAGATCTGGAGGACTTCCAATTTCTCACTAATGACAGAACTGAGTATCAAGAGTAACAACCCAGGGGAAACCTCTCGGGGCTGGATGTGGGACTGTGCCTTCTCTGGGGACTCGCAGTATATCGTCACTGGTAAGATACTGGGGTCCTCTGTGCAGCTGGCTGTTGAGCCTGACTGGGGCCACAGGGTTTGCTGGTCTGTGCTGTGGGTGCCTGGGGATTTGAAAGGCAGATTTTCCCCATCAACTCCCAAGGACACCTGTGGGGCTGGGAGGTGGATCCCTTTCCTTCCCCTGCTTTGAGCAGGGGGTTGGACTAGATGACCCCTGAGCTCACTTCCAACCCTCATTTTCTACAGTTCTGTGAACACGCGAGCTGGTTATGAGCATGCTGCTCTGCTCTGCTGCGTGTCCAACTTAACTCCCTTTGGGTGTGGGCATGTGGCACATCTGCCATATAATAAACTGACTTTACTGCATCATAGGGCTGGAGTGAGCACCCAGTGTACAGCCCAAGTTCACAGCAGATGGCTCAGATACCACTCAAGAAATGTGCTGTGGCTTCACTACATGAGAAAGTTACCATGCAGAACACATTGTCTGTCTGCTTTACCAGGCAGTAAAGTTACTCTACAGTAATATCCAGGGTAAAACTCTACGCAGTAACAAAGGCAATGTCTGTGGCTGGCGCCATTCTGCCTCATCCTGTTTGTAGCAGGGAATCTCTCGACCCGTAGGGCACACTGTATTTGTTTCATTTGGTGGAAGAGCAGCCTCAAATCTAAATGGCCACGTGGTATTTACCACTGCATTGCACATCCCTCAGGAATATTGGAAACCCGGTTTGGGCAGATGCACACTGTGATAGAAGGCTCCCTGCCCTGTCTGCCACTGCCAGGCGCTCTGGTGCGCTGGGCTAGCAAAGCAAGGAGCTGGGGTTCTTTGCAGGAGAGAATGGGCAGGTATTTTGCATTCAGCCTCTCCTTGTTTACCATTCCAGCTTCCTCGGATAACTTGGCCCGGCTTTGGTGTGTGGAGACGGGCGAAATCAAGAGGGAATACAGCGGCCACCAGAAAGCTGTCGTCTGCCTCGCCTTCAATGACAGTGTGTTGGGATAGCAGGTGTGAGGACAGGTAAGGGCCCGAGCCTGCGATGTGCTGAATGATGCCATCAGCCAGCACCCTTTGCTGGTTAGGAAATGCACTCAGTGAAGTATTTCCTTGAAAAGAAGGACAACTGCCCCCCAGCCTGGGACCTATCATGGGTCACAGTGGGTGGGATAGCACACCGCACGGGACCTGCCTCCCCCCCCAGCTTGGTGTCTGCAGCACTGACTGCTGAATTACACCCCCAGGAAGTTCCTGTGTTAGCAGGGCAGCCGCCCTGGGCATCTCTCAGCTTGGAGTTGCATAATGGAGTGTGCAGGGGAGGGACAGGAAGCACAGGCCTTCTCTTCTGTTGCAATTGGTTTATTCACTGCTTTACAGGCTTGATGGAAGATGGGCTTGGATGGACTCAAGTGTACCCGGTTCAGCGGCTGACCAGTGGTGCAGGCAGCTGCAAAGCTTTAAGAAGCCCTACTCCTACAGTGTGGAACAAAGGTATACCCTTGCCTAACAGCTGCTGATCTAAAGGGCATGGCCAAGGAGCACGATTGTAAATAAAATGTACATACTGACAAGGTCGGAAATGGGCGCCTGTCATCATAACCCTCTGGCTCTCTCCTGCCCTCCCTTGAGCAGCACCGTGCAGGCAGCCTCGTGGGGCATCTCGTGTAGGAATGAGCTGAAGAACTTAGCTGCCAACGTGTGTGTTTAACTCAGAGGCTTCCCGGGAGTTCAAGTATGATGAGGAGTGAGTGGTGGGGGAGGTGGGTCCCCTGGCTGCCGGGCTTACTCAGGAAGGTAGTAGAAACAGATGGACACACAGATGTTGCTTGGGAAGCAGATGTCGATACACAGGTAAATCAGCCGCTGCTTCCCAGGCCCTGCCAAAAGAGCAAGTGGGGGAAAGGCCTTGTAAGCAAGGCTGGTTGTGTAGCAAGGCCCTGGTGGAGCCCTGAGATCAAGGCCCTTCTAGTTCTTGGGGACTGGTTCAGATAAAGCAGTGCCAGCTCTGGTGGGCGGCTGTCAGTCGGTGAGAGTGGACATTAACCTGTGGAGCTGCTGAGGGCACTCGGTGACTGCTGAAAATGGACGCATTTGATTTTGGCGGTGCCTGCTGAGCTGTCGCGGAGAGCCCCTACAGCTGATGCCCTCATTGGGCCCGAGCAGAGAGGACATGACTGGATGGGCTGTGGAGACTCATCAGTGGAGGGTGTCTGCTCTAAGTGGGGACTCAATGCTCTACCTGGTGTGGACAGGAAGGCTTCTGTTAGTACAGCCCTCGCTGTCTGCTGCCCTAGAGATGTGCTTCAAGCCTGGAGGCCATCTGTGCAGCACCCTTCCCCTGCATAAAGGTCACTAAATATCTCTCTCCTGTAAAGGGACAGCTTTTGCCTGACACACACTCAAAATCACCCATGCTGCTCTGTTTCCCTGGTTCCTGGCTGAGCCGGGCTTCTCCCTGGGTGCTGGAGTAGTAGTGATGTCTCCACCTCCTTCAGAAGGTAATTCCTCCCACTTACCATTCCCTTTCCTGACCCAGTAAATGGAGCCCTGTTCACAGAGGGCTTGGACGGCTTCCCCCACACCTGCAGGGTCCACCGGTGCAACGGCCACAATCCCCAGGAACTCTTGGAGGTACTTGGTTTGGTTGTTCTGGAGCAGCCGTGGATCATCCTGAAAAAAAGGCCACCCAGTTACATGGTGCAAGGGAGAACCTTGTCCTCACCAGGCACTTCTGCTTCCTAGGGTGGTTTCCACACAGGCTTCCTGAGAGTGCTGTCTGCTCATGTGACAAGCATGAGAGGCCTTGTAGAGAATCCTCAGTCTCCCTGTGCTGCCACCTCACGGGGACCTGCCCTCTGGCTACAGGGTGCCCCTTCCAAGGCTGCACGCTGGCTAGGGAGTTTTCCATACAGGGGATTTTCTCTTTCCCAGGATGTTGCCTCGGGCAATGAGAGCTCCATTTGCCATCAGGTATGTGGATCACTATAACCATGCAGCTCTGAGTCCCCTACTACAGCCACACGCACCTTGCACACATGGCTCTGCCAGTGCAGCTCAGTTGGGAGTAAATTTCACACCCCCTACTTTACACATGGGGATCATCGCAGAGCTTGCAAGTCCGTCTCACTAGCTGACATGGCTCTGACTGGAGGGGTTGGAGCCTTGGCCTTGTACGTGCACCTCCCTGGGTTGATGCCCAGGGCATGGCAGGGGGAAGTGTAGAAGCGTGGAGCAGAGTACCTGGAGAAGCTGTAGCATCTTTGCTGGGAGGGTTTCTAGAAGAGGCTGAATGAGGTGAGCATTTGGAATGGGCAAGGGATCAAAATCCTGCATCTGTGCAGGAGTCAGAAATCGAAGAGCTGGAAGGGTGAGCCCCTGGGGATGGGAGGAACCCCTCTCCTGATTGCCTGGCTAATGCAGAGGCAGCACAGCTGGTCACGAGAGCAGGGAAACAGCATTCTTCCTTCACTTCTCAGAGGCCTGAGAGCCAGACTATGGCTTCCATCCCAGGGGCCTCTTCCCTGGCTGCATGTGGTTAACAGCGTTCTCATGGGTCTCTTGTTCCTGCTGCTGTTTGTGCCGAGTGCTCCTGACTGCTCAGTGTGGGGATGAGAAGAGGCAGTCAAAGGACAAGCGGCCTTAAGCTCCCCCCCCTCCCCGCAATAACAAGGTAAAGGAATCCAGCCGCCTGCCCAAGGCTTGGCATCTGCTTTCGAGTCATCAAAAATGGGGCCCTCTGTCTTCCTGAAACAGAATCTGCACCTCTCCCCGCTATGAAACCCATTAACATTCTGTTCAGAGGGTTGTTAGACATCATTACTCCAACTTATTTCGCTGTGGCTTTGCTAACAAAACACCCTTTGTTTCCTGTTCCCTGGAGTTATCGTTAGCAGGTAACCAAATCCAGCAGGATTGGATTTTTTGAAAGCGTGGTGACTTCAAACCCACATGGCACTGGTGTCCTGCCCTTCCTCCCCCACTCCTGCTTCATACAAAAGACATTCAATCAATAAAAACTCCATCGATTACTTCCTTCCAGTTGAGTGTAAACCACGCAGTCAGACTCCAGCTGGGCTGCTATTGACGGGCAGAATTAAGGGACGCACTTCTCCTAAGAATAACTCCTTCCTCAGAAAGTACAAACAGCAGAGAGGCATCACAGCTGGAAGACCTAATGGATTTGACTTCACTTGCCCCATCTCACTTCAATAAAGAAGAGCGCTCCCTGGGAACACGTGAACCTGGTGCAGGGGACTCAGAGAAGAGAGGCCTCTGTGATGCTGAGGGCCCTTCATTTCCCCGCAGTCCAACCACCCCTCTGCAAAAGTCACATCCCTGCTCACCCTGTGCGCAGACACGTTGAAAGACAGCTGGATGTTCTCCAGGTCCTGATGGTCCATCCTCTGCAGGAAACACGCACTTTGCTCTGCAGGTTTGTAACAGACATAGCCCTGCGGGGCGGAAGGAAGGGACACAGAAAGGTCCATTTTATTGACAGACAGCCTGTGTGTGCACAGCACTTAGCCACTGCTGAGATCTTAGCTTGAACACTCCTGGCCCTTCATTGGGATATGTTTTTAATAAAGCAACATGGGTTGCCTCTCAGTAGGAATGAGCATGCCTTGGAAACAGCAGATCTGGAGTGAGCCATGGTGGCAGATCAGTGGTGGGAGTCTGCAGAACAGACAGTAGCGACTTCCCTAGTAGGCTCCACAGTGCAAAGAAACCTCCGTGCAAGCTGGTGGTGACATCGTACTAGTGGTTCTCATTTGTATCTGCTAAATTACATCAGAGGAGAGGAAAGCACTGAATGGGTGCGAGGCATCCAGGGTCACTCCAACCTGTGTGTGGCTGCCTGCCTCAAGGCCTAGCCTGCAGCTACTTGTAACAGCAGACATGAGCCGCTAAAAAACCAAATGGACTTTCTCAGGCTGGAATCACAGAAAAGTCAGGCTGCAAGGGACCTCCAGAGGTCATATCTAGTCCAACCCCCTGCCTGAGGCAGGATCATCCCTATCCAAACTACCTTATACAAATCCATAATCTAACCTCTTTGAAAAACCACCATCAAGCCTGACCCAACACAAGACATCACACCCAAACTTGCCACAGGTAAAGCAGGGGAACCAAGGCAGAGGAATCCCCAACTCTTGTCCACACCCCACACTCAGGATACCTGGCAGAGCTGAGCAAGCTTTAGTCACAGCTCCCTGAGGCATGGTCCCTAAATTGGCTGTTGCAATTGCAGGATTGCTCTCCCCCCCCCACCCTTTTATGCAGAGCACAGTCAGCCGGTGACGGCCACTCACATTCCGGCTGTCAAACAGCACCACAGCTGTGCGGTTACTCGGCGAAGTCACATAGTAAGTGATGGTGCTCCTGGACTGGTCCACAACAGCTGACTGGTTCACCAGGGAGCCCTGCTGGTCCTGAAATGTCAGCTGGGCAATCTGCAAGAGAGGCTGAGCACAGCCAGGGTGAGCACTGTGCCCACGTGCTTTGTCCCACCCAGCACTGTGGCTCTGGAGTCTGCAGAGCGAACCATGGGAGGCTGTTCTGCCCCGCTGTCAGTCTAAGCTCCTTGGTAATAATCGGGCAAATGCAGGTGAGCAGGGTGAGCAACTTCAATTGATGAAGGCTCCAGCATGAGTGTGAGCAGGCACATACCTGCTGCACTGCCTCAAAGTGCTGGAGATCTCACCCCTCATGCAGGCAGGGAGGCCTGAGCCATAGAAAACCTGGGCTCTAGCTGGAAAATGTGGAGCCAGTGCACAAAGGCTGCCCCCTGGGACAACAGCTGGTGCAAGGGAACATCTCACCCAATAGCCTCTTGCCCTGCCAGGAGGCAGCGTGTTGGCTGGGGAGAGGAAGTTGTGGGTTCCTCTAAGATCCTCCAGGAGCCACAGCCAGTTAGAAATGGGGAATCACTTTGTGGCCTGGGGACACCTTCCCTCCAGCACAACTGGTTATCTTGCTGCAGAGACACCTTATG